ATGGAGAAATATGGGTAATACACTAGAAAAGAGGAAAGCGTTTCCGGTCGTGATTGTGATGGAAATTTTGCAGTCGTGATTTCTTAAAATAAGAGGGATAAGACGAAAAGGAAGGCAGATATATCGACATACTAAGATCGATCGATAGATAGGAAAGAGTAGATATATAGAGATTGTTAGATAGATAGGCAGATAGATTCAGAAACTGATAAATTGAGAGGGATATGTATATAAATATATATATATACACATATATTTAGTTGTCTATATACATACAAATGTATCTATATTTGTAAATATATTTATACATATATGTACACATACATATGTGTATATATATACATATGTATATTCACGCACGCACGCACAAACACACACACATATACATACACATATACACACATATACATACACATATATACATATACACATACACACACATATATATATATACATATACATATATATATACACACACACATATATATATACACATACACATTTATATACATACATACACATTTATATACATACACATATATATACTTACACATATATATACATACACAAATATATACATATATATACACACACACATATATATACATACATATATATATACATACACATATATTTACATATATACATATATATATATACATATGTATACATATATATACATATATATACATATACATATATATACATTTACATATATATATATATACATATATATGTATATATATATATACATATATATACATATATATACATATATACACATATATATACATATATATACATATATATACATATATATACATATTTATACATATATACATATATATACAAATATATACATATATATACAAATATATACATATATATACAAATATACATACACATACAAGCTATCTCTTTAAGTGAGAGAGAGAGAGAGAGAGAGAGGGGGGGAGGGAAGAAAGTGAGTTATATATATATATGTGAATGTGTGTGTGTGTGTAAAGAAAGAGAGAGAGAGAAAGAGAAAGAGAAAGAAAGAGAGAAAGAGAAAGAGAGAGAAAGAGATATATAAAGAGAAAGAGAAAGAGGAAGGGAGAAAGAGAGAGAGAAGGTGAATTGGCTCGAAATTCCTTAACCAGTAACTGTCATTGCTGCACACGACACGGAGTGAAATCCCTTATCAATCGCCTATATAAGCGTGGAGCGTTGCCTGTCGTTTCAGAACTGACTTTCAGAGTAACTTGACAGTGTGCAGTGTTGATACAACTTCAAAATGCCTGATCCTTGCTGTAACAGTAAGAAAGTTTGTTAATATTCTTTCTCTAAAGTTGTGAAGTATATATTTTTTATTTCAGACTTTACCAGAAATTCCTTAACAGAAATGTTTATTCTTTCGCATGGTGATCAGTGTTATTATGAATTTACTGTTGATTCTATCATTTTTCTTTTCAGAGAAATGCGTTTGTGCCGAGGGTGGCTGCATGAAGAGCTGCAAGTGCACAAGCTGTAAATGTAAGCATGAGGACCTTTTTTTAGCTTGGGAAAAATAATTTAAATATGTATGAATAGGGAGGCGTGCATTTTTCTCTAGCTCTATGTAGAGCGAAAAGGCAATTTAGAGATAGTTTTTTTTTTTTTTTTTTTTTTTTTTGCGCTTATTTTAGATCATTTCGTATCTGTAAAAGATCCATCTTTTACAGATCACCCCAATGCCGACGGGCATGACCTGTACGTACATGCCATGCCCACTGAGTTTACTTGTTTAATTGTTTTTACACTGGGATGGCTGCACTGGTACTAAATCGCCATGAGCCAGTTACGAGTACTGCCAGTCTCGCCCGTTTACCCCTTTTCCTTGATTTAAGAGACCTTAATCTTATCTTGCTGATACTTTGCTATAAACATTAATTAAGACTTTTATGATAAAAAAGTAACCAAGTGATATTTTTAGTATTAGTAAGAAAAATTACCGCCAATTCAAAAGGTCTACTAGTTGACTCCTTTGTAGCTAAGCAGTAGCGGAGCCATCTAATGTGCTGATATATTGCTCAAATATAAAAAATGAGCACGGCATTTTTCACATGTTCTTATTTTCCCCGGCGGCACTGGGTTAAGAGGGAACTGTCCCTCTCTCTCTCCCTCACATTATAATTGCCTAACTATACATTATATTCTAGGCTCGTCTGGCTGCGCGTGTCCCTCCAAGGAGGAGTGCGCGACGAGATGCACGAAGCCATGCAGCTGTTGCCCATAGACGTGACTCGACTACTGCCTTCTGCATGACCAAGCAACGAAAATATTTATTCTTCTATCTCTCGTATGTTATGACTGAATTATTGGAATGTGTCTGAATAAATGAAAGAATGTAAAAAGGTGTTTTTTAATTCTCATTCTATTTATAAGATCTATGTTCCTGCCACAAACATTTATGTTTGTGAGGGAGAAGGAAAAGCAAGAGAAAGAGGGAGAAAGAAAATCGTATGCTATGACTGAATTATTCGAATATGTTTAAATAAATGGAAGAAAGTGTGAAAAGGTGTATTGATTTTGTGTTGTAATTGTCTATTTGTAATGTATATAAAATGTGTGGCAGGAATGTGGATATGTGAGGGAGAAGGAAAAGACAACGAAAGAATCGGACAGAGGAAGGGAGCGAGAGAGGCCTTTGAAATGTATCACATTTTACAATGATTTTATTCTGCAATTCCTTTCATTGTCCACTTATTCAGGTACTTATCTCTTGCTCTCTAATGCCTTTTTTTTCTTCTTAAGGTCATCTCAAAGGCCAGATTTATAATGAATTTAGGCCTGACCAATCAATATCTGACTTTTCCTACGAAGAATCTAGGAAATCGGAACTTCCAAACAGGATGTATAGAAAATTCAGTTTTGAAGATTCTGAGAATGGAATACAGAACTTCATCTACTGACTTTTCAGACATATAATGTTCCTGTCTCTCTACATTCTGTCTCGTATAAAATGTCTATCCATCTACTTTTTTCCCCCTTTCTCCCTCTAACACCCGCTTCCACACTGGCGAACCGTCAAAGGGGTAAGTGAGCAGATCGAAGATTAAGTGGCCGTGCACCAACAGGACCAAAGAGCAACGTGCAACCGGGAAGAGTATTAACTATTCTACTAAATAAAACTGGTTTCGAAACTCATGATCATATCCTGTCAATAGAAATTCGAATGCAGTTTCTACCTATACTTTTTTATCGATAGTCCAGACTTGTTAGATCAAAATAAATGTTCAAGCTGGTCTCAAGAGCAAGGAAATGCTTGTTGGCAAAAAATAAGCAAAAAATCTCCTTAAACCCGAGAGACATGAGGCAAGACTGAAAAAATCAGGGAAACTGAGACAAAGAAAGGATAAAGTGCAGATGAGACAATATATGGAGAAATATGGTTAATAAACTAGAAAAGAGGAAAGCGTTTCCGGTCGTGATTGTGATGAAAATTTTGCAGTCGTGATTTCTTACAATAAGAGGGATAAGACGAAAAGGAAAGCAGATAAATCAACATAGAGATCGATAGATAGATAGGAGAGAGGGAAAGATGTATAGAGACTGTTATATAGATAGGCAGAGATAGATTCAGAAGCTAATAAATTGACAGGGATGTGTATATAAATATATATACACAAACATATATATAATTGGTTAGATAGATATGTGTATATATACATACATATCTATCTATATGTACAAATCTACATATATGTATATATATACATATGTATATACACGCACGCACGCACACACATATATACATATATATGCATATATACATATATATACATATACATATATATACATATACATATATATATACATATACGTATATATACATATACATATATTTACATATACATATATATATATAATATATATATGTATACATATGTATACATACATATACAAGCTACCTCTTTGAGTGAGTGAAAGAGAGAGAGAGAGAAAGAAAGAGAGAGAGAGAGAAAGAAAGAAAGAGAGAGAAAGAGAGAGACAAAGAAAGAGAAAGAGAGAAAGAAAGAGAGAGAGAAAGAGAGGGAAAGAAAGATAGAGAAAGGGAGAGAGAGGAAGTGAATTGGTTCGAAATTCCTTAACAAGTAACTGTCATTGCTGCACTCGACACGCAGTGGAAAGAGAGAGAGAGAGATAGAAAGAGAGAGAGAAAGAGGAAGTGAATTGGTTCGAAAACCTAGTAAAAGTCATTGCTGCACACGACACGCAGTGGAAACCCTTATCCGTGGCCTATATAAGCGTGGAGGTTGCTTGTCACTGGAAGCACGTTTCAGAACTGAGTTTCGGAGTAACTTGACAGTGTGCAGTGTTGATACAACTTCCAAATGCCTGATCCTTGCTGTAACGGTAAGAAAGTTTGTGAATATGATTTCTCTAAAATTGTGAAGTATATATTTTTCATTTCAGACTTTCCCAGAAATTCCTTAACAGAAATGTTTAGTCTTTCGCATGGTAATCAGTTTTATTATGAATTTACTGTTGATTCTATCATTTTTCTTTTCAGAGAAATGCGTATGTGCCGAGGGAGGCTGCACGAAGGACTGCAAATGCACAAGTTGCAAATGTGCCCCGTGTGAGAAATGTAAGCATGAGGACCTTTTTTTAGTTTGGGGAAAATAAATCAAATATTTATCGATAGGGAGGGATGCATTTTTAAGTATTCTCTCTAATTCTATGTAGAGCGAAAAGGCAATTTAGATGTAGATTTTTTTCTTTTTTCTTATTTTAGAAGATCCTTTTTCATATCTGTAAAAGATGCAGCTTTTACAGATCACTCCAATGCCGACGGGCATGACCTGTACGTACAAGCCATGCCCACTGAGTACTTGTTTAAAAGTTTTTACACTTGATGGCTACACTGGTACTAAATGGCCATGAGCCAGTTACGAGTACTGCCAGTCTCGCCCGTTTACCCCTTTTCCTTGATTTACGAGACCTTAATCTTATCTTGCTAATACTTTGTTATAAAC